AAACTGATTTGTCCTAGCTTGTAACTTACGTTAATTTTAAAGAAACTTAATGAAGGGTTGGGTTTTTTTTTTCAGGCTAAATGTTTGCCAGGAAAAAGCCACTCAACCCTGCAAACAGACTAGCCATCTGTTGGCTGCGATGTTCATCTGGGATTTGGGGAGATCTGGGTGTGAAGTCGAATCCTAACAAATTATTTGTTATTACTGCAGGGGAGATCCAGCCCTACGGTGGTGGGTGGCCCCGCACAAGGATGAGGGAATGGGAACTCGACCCTGGAACAGGCAAATCCACAGTGGCCAATCTATTTCTGACTGATGGTTGGACAGTCTCTCGCTCTCCAGATTTGAAAGGTTTTGTGTGGTTTTTGTCCCAGTGCAGAATAGGCAAAATGCTTTAAATCACTTTTCATTCTGACCAAAGAAACAATTTCCTACAAGCTCAACCCTGAACAATAGAGCCTTGATCTTGATAGGGGGCTGTGGATGTTACTGTAATGCTAATGCGTGGCGCGGTTGGCCTTTGCGCTTCTGGCACATTTCAGGCACTATATAGGGAGTCTGTAATCAGCTGCAGAAAAATTCCCTTCTGTCTCTCTCCTAGCAACCCCTTCTGAGCTGATATTTGAAAATAAGCTTGCTTTCCGTATCATCATCTAAATATTTTCGACACTTACTGTCATTAAAATGCTCTTAATAGTCTTGGGACTAAGGTAATTTATCTTCAGTCTTCAGGACTCCCTTCTAGTTTCTGTGGTCTTAAGGTAAAGCTTTTGAACTTCTGTTAGAAACCTGACTTGTATCCAGATTTTGGGCTTTTCTGTTGAATTTTACACTGGCTATATTTGACACAAAGTCAAATTAGTATACTGAGATGATAAGGAGATAAAAGCAGCAAGGCCATAAGTCACCTAGACTAGTAGGAGCAAGCTGAGAGTCTTGAAAAGGATTTGGTTATATTTTTGTTAAACATTTTAGCGCATGTGATGTGTTACAGACTGGTTTTGTAGCTCTGTAATCTTGACCCCGTATACACATGGTGTAGCTGTGTGCCCTGCTGTGGAAACAAGGCAGACTGCTCATACCAGTATGAACCACTGGATTGCCACTAGAATCAAGAACGTTAAAGTCTTTATCTGCTCTGCTCATTCTGCTCGTTCTCTTTCTGTAAATCAGAAGAATGAAAAGTGTGGTGAGAGAAAGGGTAGGCATAGAGGAATTCCTCTGGACAGAGCAGACTGCAACAAGGTGAGGGGTTTGTGGTCTTCCCCATAAATGCTGACTGCGTGTTTGAAGTCCTCAGCGCTCGTGGGAATGCGCTCTGCAGAGATTGACATCAGTAGCTGATGAAAGAGGTAGACGGGAATCCTGGACGCAAACGTAGCTATCCTGGGAGAAATGCACGGGGGCTGCTGTGAATGGTCTGGTTACCTTAATTGTGGAAATCTTGCTCCAAATTCTTGATGCTCTTTTCCTGGGGCTTCCCAAAGCTGTACTCAGTTTGCTGAAGACCTGGAGCATTTCTGCTTCCTGGGAGCTACTTGGCCTTGCTGCAGGATCCGACACCAGGCCCCGTCTAGCTCTGAAGGCAGGAGGGGAGGTTCGTTGTGCCCTAGGCACAACTGGGTTCTTTAAGCCTTGTGGGTCTCTGAACTGGCAACTCTTTTTTTTTTTTTTTTGATCCGAGACAGCTGATTAATTGCTGGTGTGTTTGGAGCAGGATTCATTTGGGATTTGGTTGTAAGACTTTTGCCTGACAGAAAAAAAATCTGTCTGAGCTGAGAAAATAGTTGGGTCAGAGCCTGCGTTCTGTACTCTGAGATACGTTGCCATGAGCCGTGCTGGAGCTTTCTCTGGGAACATGGTCTGCACAGTCCTCCGAACGTGTCAAGTCCCTTCTGCTGTTTCCCCATGCTTTTTCCATGTGCTGCTAGAGGGTTCCTTAGTATGGTTTTGTGGGATGGAGAAGCCTTGAGGTCTGCCTCAGGTTCCCGGTCCTCCTGGATTCCCAGCTTGTGCAGTAAATGTTTTCTGGAGATAGGAAGAACTCACAGGGTGTAAAGGTTCTTTCTGTAATTGCTCCCTGCACCACTTCTGCTAATGCTCTCAATCATTTTGTTAGTGGTATTTTTGAGATTTCAAATTCCTGGGCATCTCTGCCTTTAGAGAAGACTTGGTGGAGAGGGGAAAGGGAAGATGGTTCACCCCACTTGTCTTAGAAAATGGGGGCTGACGTGGAATTCACCTCCTGCCCAGGAAAGAGAGCTTCCCCAGCTTCCTCATTTCTGCTAATGCATTCCCAGAGATTTCCCCTGTGTTGATAGAAGGGCTTTATTGCTGAAATTCACTTCATTTTCAGCCGGTCCTCCAGCTCTTATGTTAATAAACAATGCAGTTGTTCCCAAACTTAGCATCTGCATCCCAATACATATTCTTTTTATGAACCTAACTCACTTGCTGGGGGTTTTTTGTAGGAATTTTAGGTCCTTGCCACAGCACGGACAATAATCAAATATGGCACCGTGTTGCTTACCAGTAGGTTTTTTTTGGACTTGGGAATGTTAGGACTGAGTCTGAGTGCAGAAAGCTCTGCTTTAATTTATGGTCAGTATTAACTTGTGGAGCTGAAGAGCATATAAGCTGCAGCTGCTCAGGAGCTTGCTCTGAAGATCAGGCTGGGAGAACTGTTTTTTATTAAGTGGTACTTGATTTAGTCCTGAGTAAAACCATTTGTATTTAACCTGATCCGCGAAGCTGCTGTAAGTGTTAACATACTTCAGTATTAAACGTTTCACTCTGGGGCATCATCATACACGGTGGGTTTGTGTAAGAGCCCGTTTCTGAACCTGGAATAGTTACCCATTAGATGACTGTGTACATTTTCAAAGGGAACTGAAACTCAGTCAAGCCTATATTTAAAACTCACTGCCACTGTACTGGGTGATGTGAAAAGATCCGGTGACAAGTGTGCCTTAACATCAGGTCTGAAGCAAGCTGCAATACTTTGGTGCTAAGCTACTCTCCGTGAACCTGTAGGGATGTCGCTTTTCCCAGAGATGCCCGTTGGCTTTTAGCAGAGAAATCGCTTGCGCTTGGGGCAGTTAGGCATCCATCTACCCTTCATGAGCTGCTCGTGGGCGACTGCCAAGTGCAGCGAGCTACTTGCCGTTAAGCTGTAGGGCAAAGCAGCTTATGCGGAACCAAGAAAACTCTTGAGCCAAAACAAACTGCTATAAACTTTTCTCCCTCCCCATGAGAATGAGGGGAAGAAGGTTATTGTGTCCAGACTCTTTTGGAGCTGGCACTGTGGGAAAACTCTGTCCAATCTGGGAGTCATTGTACTTGAGGAACTGTAATAAATCCTGACGGACCCCGAAGATGGAACTTGGATCTCCTTCATATGAGTATGCACACAGACCGCCGGGATTGAATTGGCACGTCTGGATACAGGAGCTGCTTCTCATGAAGTAGTTGTGACGCCCCTTAAGCAGACTTCATGGATCATAATGTGAGATCCGGTATAGGTCTGAGCTGAGAATTATTTGTTGCTGGTGGTAGGTCCCAGGCAGCTACATTCCTGGTGGGTCAGGAATATTTAAGTGAGCGTGTATGTGTGTGCCCGGGTACCTGTTTGCTCAGTGCCATGAAGGTGCAAGGAGGTCTGTGTAATTGCTGCAAAGTGGAGAGCTTCCTGGGCAAACTTTATGCCTTGAAAGCAAACTTTAAGCCTTTTGCATCAGAGTGAAAAAGCTTGGTTGTAAAAGGGAACCTGGCTTCAGTTCCTCTTAGCCTGAGCATTTCTGCCAAGTTCGCTGCTGGGATGTTAAGGATCTTTTATTAGATATTCTGTGCTGTTGTCCCCTTCCCTCAAATGGGGGCAGGCTCTGTGGTGCAGAGCTGAAGCAGTCTGAAGTTCAGGTGGGAATAAACCTTTGATTATTTCTTTTTAATTTTTTTTTCTCCTGCTCTGTGTTTTTTCTGATGCTTCCCTTGTAATTCATATTAAGATTATTGATTAAAGGTAATTGCTGTAGGATATTATTCACAATTCATTAACCCTGATTTATAACAGAATTCTTCAGCAAGCTTGGGTGTTGAAACATCGCCGCTAATTGTCTTAGCCATGCCTTACTTGAAATGAAGATTTCTTGCCTTTCCGTTTGTATTCCCTTCTTCCCAAAGCACTGGTGCTTTGATTCTTTCTTTTAAACGTTGAGAAATACAGTTGTTCTTTTCGCACTGTAACAGTGCCTCATAATCTCGCCTTCTGCCATCTCTCCAAAGACACAGAGTTTTTGGTCTTGCAAGTCAAATTAACATGAGATTGCTGTAATTTGCATCGTAGCTGTGGGAGGCCATCTGACAGCGCCGAAGGCAGCCAAGGAGAATTGAATTCATCAGCTCTCGCATTTGTCAGAGCAGGGACTGGGGTGAGTTTTGCTCCTCTAATCTGGGCCAGAGAGTAAACATTTAATGTGAGTGGTTGGCAAGGGTGACTTTCTGCTTTGTGGCTCATTTCCTGAGCGCTGGAAAGGAGAGGTCTCCCGGAGTCCTGGCCTCACCTCTGAGCCTTGCCCCTGGGGTTCGTATGTGTGTGTGTGGTGAGGCTTTGGAGCTGTTGCTGTTTCTAGATTTTTAGCTCCCCTCTGCAGCCCGAATATGTTTCCAAATACGTTCCTGATAGGAACTCGGCATTTTCTTAAATCGGAGCTCACGCTACGCAGAAGTAGATGGAAAACGCTAAGCAGCTCTGAAGGGAAGGGAGGCAAGGTTGCTCAGTGCAGGGGGAGGGATTCTTCAGTGTGTAGAACTGGCTTTTACTGACGTCATTGTGGTGGTGTGGTCACTGAGATGTGTCAAGATGCTTAAGTTGCATGTTGTAGAATATTTTGAATATTTGGTTTTAAACTAGTTGGTTTGACATGCTTCTAGCAAGTTACCCATGTCTGAGTAAATGGGTTTTGTTTCCCGGACTAAATGTTTTCCTTTACTTGATGTATCAGTATTGAGAGCAAACACGAAGTCACAATCTTAGGAGGACTCAATGAATTTGTTGTGAAGTTTTATGGACCACAAGGAAGTAAGTATATGACCCAACCCTTCTGTAAAAACAAACTAATGGCCCATGGTGGGGAACAGTGAAATGACACGTTCTTCTGGAGTGGAGGAAGAGATGAGCAAATCTAAATGGGGGTGAGAAATCAAAGGGTAGCAGTGTTTGAAGGCCTCTCTCTCAAGGGTGGGGAGAAACACAACTGCGAGCATTAATGCAGATGAACCACCTCCCTTGGAGTGGAGGATACTGCCTTCAGACAGCTAAGCCCTCTGCTATGGCCTTCATCACTGCTCTTGTTGATGTGTAGCTTTTCTAGACCTGACTCGTAAGTTTTGCATCAGTCATCTGAATTTTTGTGGAGTTTGTAATTAAGATGGCTTCTCTAGCAACTAGATCACAAATCAGGTCTCCAGTGTGCCTTAATTTAGTAACATCTCTAAAGGTAAGTAGGTTATTCCAAAGTCTCTGTTTTTAATAAGGCTTTTATGTCTTTGTGCCAAGATCTTCTGCAGTATCAGTTAAAATCATGCATTTCTTGTCAGGCAGCACAGGAAAAAGGCTTTTACCGTAGGAGGTTTGATATGAAATCTTACCCCCTGATGGAGCTAAGTATTCTTCCAAAGATATGTTTTGCTTAATGCTGTAGTTCTATTTATTCTCTCCTGAGTTACGAAGTGTCTAATACCTGCATTTCTTTCATTGCAGCACCATATGAAGGTGGAGTATGGAAAGTTAGAGTCGACCTTCCTGATAAATACCCTTTCAAGTCCCCGTCTATAGGTAACCAATAATCACTTTCAATCAAAATCGTATTACCGATTATGCAGGAGAGATGCTATTGATTGTAGCACAGTTGCAAGTGAAGTTGTACGACCCCTTGGTGCAATCGTAAGATCTTTACCTCAAGTCTGCAGAATGTTTTTACCGTAGACTTCCAGATGTCGCGTGCCAAGCAGAGAGGAAGTTTGGTCTTTTGGCTGAAGCGCTAGGAGCTGGGAATGTGATTTGGTCACACGTTCATATGTAGATGAACTGAGTCTCTCTACCATGTGCTTTTTAAATAATATATCCATTTGTGGGTAAGGTGCAGGATACCACAGTGAGTGGTGGAGCCTGTTTATATAAAGGGACTCATTTGGTATGGAGAGCAAAGACCACAGTGCATGTTCGTGGTCTTGGGGTGAACCTAGTTTTTTGGGACCTCTTGTCCAAAAGTGGATGGAAGTGAAGGCAGGAGTTGAAGCCTCTGTCCTCTTGGACTGGGTGATGTATCTGCAGAAGAACGTAGGAGCAGGGACCTATCACCAGAAAAATTGCAGCTGGATGGACTGGTCAGGCTTGTTTAGCCTTTGAGAGCAAATAGGAAGGTTGATAAGGAAGTGTTCTTTAGACTGTATCCATCTTATCTTTGTCCCTGGGTAACGGTGATCTAACTTGGATGTCTTCTGGTACCTCACTTTATTCCAATCACTTAAGCTACAAATAAAATAGCCACTATTGCTTGAAAAACTGGAGCAGATGCATGAAATTCAACATCTCTATTCTGGCTTATGAAATAAGTGCTGGTAACTCAGTAACATGGCGTTTCTCCGTCAGAAGGGTGTGGTTGTGGCTCAAGCCACTGGAGGACTTTAAAGAATGGAGAAAATTGCCCAAGGAGAACTGATGTGGAAATTTGAGTATATGGGTTGGTCAAGATGGGTCCTTTCCAATATCAACATCCTGATTTGGAGTTGATAAGTATTGGCTGCTTTCTTAAAATAGACTCTTATGCTAAGAGTGCCTTCTATTTAAGACCTCTCTTTCTGGTGTGAGAAATAATCTGTCTAGTTCCAAATGTGAACAGTGCCTTTTGGGAAAGAGCGACGCTGGTTTTACGCAGCCCTTTGCCTTTCTTTTTTTCTGTTGAAACCTTAACTGAACCACAGAAACGTGCACACAGCTGAGTAATAATGCAGTATAGCTGCAGCTATGCGAACTTTTCTTCCTCTTGAGTCAGCTCTGAAACTTGCTATAAACCTCTTAGGTTAGAGACTGTTTACGAGATGCACAGTATGTCATTTGGTGCCAGTCATTTTTCCCTCCTCGCTTCTCAAGTGCCACAAACCAGTGCAGCTCAGGGTACTGTCATGTTGGCATTCTTAAATGTGGGCTGGCTAAAGACAACTCTCAGAAAGCATGTAAAACCCGATTCCGTTGTTAATTGCTTTGGTGCTAGTCTACTCAAGATTATTTTTCTCTCTCCTGATGTTCTTCCTGTGTGTATCAGAAATCAAGGTTGCTGGCTTAAAGCAAACCCAAACTTTCTTTCCAGTAGCCTATGAAGCCAGTGCAGCTAAATGTTGGCCAGGCTCTGGTGTATTGGTAGTGCTGTTGATGTAGACTCCAGTTAGTTGTATGGAAGGTGCTAGGTTTGACCTTTTGGTGGTTCGGCTTGGAGACTGTTTAGTGCTGGTTGGGATAGGCGGGAGTAAAAGGCAACCTGGGATCAGAGTTGGCCCAGCTGTGTTTTCAGAACTGACACCACAAGGATGGCCTTTCTCCTTGTGAACTCGGGGTGGGTAGGTATGCAGGGAGTTGTTTTGTGTTCAAATCACTGAGTTTCTGTGTCCCTTCTAATGTTGCTTTTGCTGTGTTCCTTCTAATACAGCAGCTGTCCATCCGTCAGTTTGCTTATACCCGCTGTGTTGCGACTGCTTTATTCCAGACTCATCAGACCTTCTAGCGTGCTTCTCTCGCCCTACGAGTCTCTGAAAACCACCTCTTCTCTCGCTGAGCTCCCCAAAAGGCTGGCCCTTGTTTTAGGGCCTTGCTGTCTGCTGGGCAAGGGCTGCTGGAAGTGCAGGTTATGTCCTGGGCGAAGCAGTGTGCAGCTGAGGTTTCAGGCTGAATAAACAGTCGATGCTAGACAAGAGCTGGCTTAGCAAAGCAGGGCTCAGCTCTGCTGCCAGGAGGAAAGAGCTGCGGAGTTGGAAGCGCCAAGCAGAGCCCTAGGACCCGGGGAAGCTCCCAACTGGCTGTGGGAAGAGGTTTGTTTTTCTTTGTCTGGTTCCCATTTCTGCTGCCCCAGCCCAGCTTATCTGGACAGCCAGGGCCCAGTGACATCTCAGCCCCTTCCTCTGGGCCAGGCCGATCTCCGCACCGCTGCTCTTGGAGGCAGGCTCGGCGTGCAGTGTGTGATACCACTGGTTTTGGCATTACAGATAACTCCAGAGCAAACCTTTGTCCCAGCTGAACTGGGAGCATTCACAAGCTTGTAAATGAGACAAGGTCCTGTTCTCTGCCGGGTCTTGCCTGTTCCAGTGAGCACGGGTGTCCTAACCCAGCAGTCCTCAGCCAGCTTGAGGTCTGGATAACACAGAAGTAGGAATTAGTAGGGAAGAAATTTGCCGTGGCGCAATCTCTGATCTGTAAAGAGGTGGAAGTGAAGGATTTCAGAGATGGTGGAGCCTGTAAATGGACAGAAGGTCATCTAGAGCACACATGTAGCTTGTTTGCAGCCCTTCTGTTCTCAGCACCACATAGCTCCCACTGCAGTGATGACATGCAGAGTTCGAATTGTCTGTGTAAGTCACTGGCTTGTATAAAGTATAGAATCCAGCAGTTTCTTTTCCTTTAATAAATTACACTTTTATGCTGAAGCTTAAAGCAAATACGCTGTCCTTGCAGCTTTCCTTGTTCCTCTAGTACTGTAGGCTAAAATTTTCTTTCCATCTTAGGAAATCTTAATGCAGTCTTGAACACGGCCTGGGCTTTTTGCAGCAAATAACATGATGGCTTGAAGCATATCGAGGCATTCTAGAAAGCTGCTTCTGAAAAATGACTGCTAATAGTTGCTTTCTAATCTGTTCAAATTGCTTTTATCCCAGCATGGCTCCGAGTATAAGGTACATAAAAACTTGGTGTTCTCTCCTAAAGTGTGACTGACAAACCTGAATAGAAAAGGTTTTTAAAGTGGGTTCCATATTTGTCATCTGGAAAGGCGTGGACCTTTCCTTAAACCCTAGATGAGTTGCGGTCCTCTTCGCCTTTGAGGGTCCCTAGCAGAAGCTTTCGCTTATGGCTTCAGTAACCCTGCTGGCACTGCTTTGCTACTTTTCCCTTCCCTCTGGGATTTAATATCTTCAGGGGAACTTTCTGCCTAGTCTGTTCTTGCGTTTTCAAGGGGGAGTTGTGGAGTACTTTGAGCTGTGGAGTGTTTTGAGCTCCCAAGTCACGAGAACACTTTGTGTAAATTTTGTATGGTTTTAATCAGTCCTTACTCCTGCCAAGAGCCGGAGGTTAACGCTCTTTGATGCCATAAACATGGGAGGAAGCGCAGAGTGTGAATGTCCTGCCCTGCTTAGATGACACAAGCAGTGGAAATGTGTGAACCTGGGAGCCTGAGCTCTTACCTGGAAGCACTGTGGCATTTATTTTATTGCTAAAATCTGCAGAAATATTAGGCCGGCACTGAGTCACTCTGCTTTCTTAATAATCAAATGTCACAGCTGCAAAGTTTGCATACAATATGCTCAGAGCCTCAATTTCTCAAATAACTACTGTATATTTATACACAGTTCTCATTTTCCTTCCCTCTCTGGCCCAGTTATCTGCAGATATCTTGTATTTATATTTCACCTTTCTCCTAAGTGTTTTGCAAAACAAAATGCCTGGTATGTACACAAAACATATGGAAGTGTGTGTGTGTATATGTATGTGTGTGTATATAATGAGACATTGTGGCAGCCAGTACAGGAATGAAGCAGTGTTTAGCTCCAGCCAGGATTTAACAGATCTCTCCTGGCCGGAGCTTAATTTTTCTTTTTAACAGCAGCTGCTATTTTTACTTTCAGCTCCTCTCTGGATTGCCTTACATTTTGCTACTTAGAATTTCATGAGTCACTTATCGCCCGTGACCATTCTGAGCTTCCCTCTGTGTGTTGATCCTTACTCTGACCTATAAGCGATGTGAAAATGCTTGTTCTTTCAAATACACTTAGCTTTGTCTAAGGGGAAAGACGAGACACCTAAAGGTAATTTGTATCCCGGTCTCCACTCCGGTCTGACGCACAACTGTGCACCCTCTGCAGATTCCCTGCTACAATCGGAGAATGGGAACAGACTGACAAAATGGGGTAGGTGTTTTCAGCCTGACTTGGCACAGATTCACTGCCTTCTGTGCCAGTCTCTGAAGCCTGGGCAGCAGGTGATGGTGCACCTAAGCAATGAGATGAACTGATATTGGGCAATTGCTTTGTGCTACTTCTGCATGTTTTTCCAGAGATGGCTGCTCTTAGCACCAGTCTGTAAGCTTGTGGGTACTGCTTTTCCATTTCCAAGAAGGACCACTCAGCGATTCACTCTGAGCAGGAGGTCCAGAGTCTATAACTCTGCCACTATTTTCCATCAGCTACAGCCATATTTTTCTGTCCTGATCTTTCCCTCGTGAAGCTGCTGCGGAATTATTTATGGTATTGTTTTGAGAAGCTACTAGAATTTGAGTGTGGTAATATAAACTGTTCTACTTCTGCTGTTCGCAAGCTGACGATACACAGCACCTCACGCCACCGCCGTGCAGTGAATGCCTCCGCGGTGAGTGCACAGTGTTATATTTGACTCTGTCGTTAGTGCTCTGAATGGGCTCCTAACCTCCAAATGTCATAAAAAAGAAATCTTTGTCTTTGCCAGTGAGAGCTTACTGACCCAGGAGCGCCGGACAAGGTGCGTACCTCCGAGGTGGGCAGATCCTGTGCCCTTCAAATGGGCAACAGCCACGCGCTAAACCAGTTGTCCCAGTC